GTGATTATAAAGTTTCCACCAGGAAACTCTTACAGCTGATAAACACTTTCAGCAACATACCTGGGCACAAAATTAACTCATGGGCTGGAGAGATGGTTCAGAGGTTAAGAGCACTGGCTGTTTCTTCCAGAGGTCCTAGTTCAATTTCCAGAAACCACATGGTGGCTTACTACCTGTAATGAGATCTGGTACCCTCTTCTGGCCTGCAGGGATACATGGCAGTCCAAACACTATATATAATAAATAAATAAATCTTTAAAAATTAACTAATAAAATCTGTAGCTATCTGATACAAATGACAAATAGTTTGCCATAAAAAGAAAACTCAAACATCAGGGAGACAATACCTTTCACAATATCCTCAAATAATATAAAATATCTTGTGGTAACCCCAACTAAGCAAGTGAAAGACTTGTATGACAAAAACTTCAAATCTTTGAAGAAAGAAATTGAAGAAGATAACAGAAGATGGAAAGATCTCCCATGCTCATGGATAAGAAGAATTAATATAGTAAAAAAGGCCATTCTACCTAAAGCTATTTACAGAGTCAATGCAATCCCCATTAAAATTGCAACACAATTCTTCACAGATATTAAAAGGAAAAATTTCAGCTTCATATGGAAACATAAAAACTCAGGATATCTAAAACAATCCTAAACAATAAAAGAACTACTGAAAGTATCACCATTCCCAATCTCAAATTGTACTACAGAGCTACAGTAATAAAACTCACATGGTGTTGGCACAAAAACAGACATGTTGATCAATGGAACTGAACTGAAGACCCAGACATAAACTCACACACTCATGGACACATGATTTTTGATAAGGAAGTCAGAAATAACACTGAAAAAAGACGCATCTTTAACAAATATTGCTGGTCAAACTGTACGTTTGCTTATAGAAGAATCCAGATAGATACATACTTATCACCCCACACAAAATTCAATTCCAAATGGATCAAAAATCTCAACATAAAACCAGATACACTGAATCTGATAGACATAAAAGTGGGCAATAGCCTTGAACTCATTGTCACAGGAAAAGGCATTCTGAACAGAGCATCATTAGCACAGGCACTAAGATCAGAAATTAATAAATGGGACCTCATGAAACTGAAAAACTTCTGCTAGGCAAAGGACACCATTATTCATATAAAGTGGCAGCCAACAGAGTTGGAGAAGATTTTTTTTACCAACTGCACATCTGATAGAGGGCTAATGTCCAAAATACATAAAGAATTAAAAAACTCTAGACATTGAGAAAACAATGAATTAAAATATGGGGTACACATCTAAACAGAGTATTCTCCATAGAGGAAATCCATATGACTGAGAAAACTAAGAAATGTTCAACATCTTTATCCATCAGAAATGCAACTCAAAATTACTTTGAGATTTCATCTTACATCAGTCAGAATGGCTAATATCAATAACACAAGTGACAGCTCATGCTGCAGAGGATGTGGAGTAAGGAAGACATTCCTCCATTATTTGTAGGAGGACAAACATTGTTTGTAGGCATACATCTACTATGAAAATCAGTGTGGTGGTTCCTCAGGAAGATGGGAATCAATCTACCTCAAGATATAGCTATACCATTCTTGGGCATATACCCAAAGGATGCTTCATTCCACCACAAGGACATTTGCTCAAACATGTTCATCTTTTTATAATAGCCAAAATTTGGAAACAACCTTGATATATCCCAACAGATGAGTGGATAAAGAAAATGTGGTACATATATTTATACAATGGAATATTACTCAGTCATTAAAAATGAAATCATGGAATTCACAAGTAAATGGATGGAACTTGAAAAATTCATCCTGAGTGAAGTAACCCAGACACAGAAAGACAAATGTGGTATGTATTCCATTAGCTGTTAAGTCAATGATAACCAAGTTACAATATGTAGAACTGCAGATCGTAGCTATGGAGTACAGAACTGGTGTGGGACAGATAGATCTCCCTAGGAAAGGGAAATAGAATAGAAAGTTATGGATGAATTCTGGCTGAGGGTACGGGACTCAAATGAAAGGATCAGATGGAGAGGGGAAGGGAAAAGGAGGATGAGGGAGCTAATATGGGAGAGAAAACTAGAAATCAGGGCCATTTGAGGGGTAGTATGGAAACCCAACATAGTAGAAGCTCCCCAAATATATGCATATATGAAGGAGATCTAAATGAGACCACCAAGTGAAAGGGGAGACAGAGCCCCAACTGGACATCTCTTGTCACCAAATGAAGCTTCTAGTACCAGGCTTGGGTTACATCCAATTGAGTTGTTGGCCATAGGGATCATGTGAGAATCCCCAAACAACCCAGGCTGTTGCCAAAACTATAGATTGCTCTCTATAAGTTGACAGCAAGGCTTCACTGCTGAAGAGAACGCTTATACAACACACTGAACATGGAGAGGTCGAGCTGGTGCCTATATAGAGCCTTCACCCTTATGTTTTGGCATTTTTGGTACAGGAAAGTACCAATGAAGGCTATGAAAGAGGAAATGTAAACACTGCAGGCTACAAAAGGAGAAATGTAAATGCTAACTCAGGCACAAACCCTTTGGCCTACAATGGTGTCCTTCTTGTAAGATATGCCAAGGCAATGGAGGCACAAAGCTTGTGAGAATTACCAACCAGCATATGATTTGACTTAAGGCCTACTCCATGAAATTGAACCTAAACTTGACATTGCTTGGGTGACCAAGATCCTGAGAGTAGATAGCCCAGAATAGATAGCCCAGAAACGTAGGGCAAACCCAAATAATACTATTCTAAAAACAAACAAAAAATGTAACAATAAAATGACTCCTAATGACATTTCGCTACACTCATAGATCAGTTCTTGGCCCAGATATCCTCAGAGAAGATTCCTCCAGCAGCAGATGGGAACAAATACAGAGACCCAAGCCAATGTGCAGACAGGGACCTTGGAACACTATTATATTATATTACTATTCCTTAGAAGCCTGTTTTTTTCTAATGAAAGTCAGAAAAGGAGTGGATTTGGATGGGAGGGGAGGTGGGGAGTAACTAGGAAGAGTAGAAGAAAGGTAAGATGTAATCAGGATATGTTGTGTGAGAAAAAAATCTATTTTCAATAAAAGGAAAAAAAGTTATTTGCATACCAGCCCAGTATCCTGATAATGAGGTCCAGTCAACTTACTGTTATCCTCTGAGCACAGCACAAATGGCTGAGTTAGTTCATTAGCGTCTTCCATAGCATTCATTTCTCTTCTGACCTGTAAAACAAACTACACCAGGTCACAGTGTTCACAGATAGTGATACTGCATGCAGCCACAAAAGAATGTATCTAGCGGGGTGTTGGTGGCACATGCCTTTAATCCCAGCATTTGGGAGGCAGAGGCAGGTGAATCTCTGAGTTCAAGGCCAGTCTGGTCTACAGAGCGAGTTCCAGGACAGCCTCCAAAACAATGCAGAGAAATCCTGTCTGGAAAAAACCAAAAGAGGAAAAAGAAAAAAGAGTGTATCTAAGCAGAAATGTGGGCGCATACCAATAGAACTGTTATTTGTCAAAGGGTAGCTTTATCACTGGCTTCTGGTTTTCATCTCTCTTTGTAGCAAATGATTTTTATGTAAACAGAAGGTTCTATGTCTTTCTCTCCCCATTTTATTTTATGTGTATGAGTGTTTTGCCTACATGTATGCATGTATGTACACATTAAAATCCATGTGTGGCATAGATACTGCAGTTGGTCTTACTATCAGATAAACAAGGGGTCACTCAAGGTCTTCAGGTCTGGTCTTTGGTTTGTGTGTTGCACTGAAATTTGACCCTTTTTGTTTGACTAATCCCTGTACTAGCAGACATGGCCAAGCATCATTTGCTCAGCCCCACTGCTGTTTTGTCTCTTTTCCACGTCATAGTCTGTGGATTTCTGGCACCTGAGTTGGTAATTGAAATGACAGTGGGACCCACTTTGAGGTGGCTGCTGTGCTTGGGTTTCATCTCCTTGAGTTCCCTCATCCTATCCCTAGGCTTCCTCTCTGCTGTCTTCAGCAAACAGAGACCCCTGCAGGACTGTGGTGGCTCTCATTCTGCACACCTGGCTGTTAACACTAGGACAGTGTCCACAGGGTACGGCATGCGGTGTGGCTGGAACCTTTGGTGCAGTGGGGCCTTTGCTGGCATTGTTCAGCCTGGCTTTAGCAATTCTCACTCCTTTCCAGATGGCAATGATCTGCAGGTTGAATGTGGACCTGTCCTGGGGCCTGAACAGCACCTGCAGTGGTTGAGGTCTGTGACATTTCTACTCTCTTCAGCTGGCTCTCCACCTGAACCAAAATATTCACTCCCTCTAGACCCTTTGAGAAAAGGAGACTACAGAGCAAAGCGACTTGCTGGGCTGATTCTTCCTAGTGGTAAGAACACATCTCCCTTGGTATCATTCCTCTTAGTGAAAGCATATTCTTATCTTATACAAGGTATTCTGTTTCCCAAGTCTTCCATGCTGTGACCTTCCTGTCTGTGTAGCTGAGCATAGCCTCTGTGAGGCCACAGGCTACTGCCCCCTGTAGGTGTATGTGGGCAGTGCTGAGGGCAGCATTGGGTGGTTGCCAGGTTATGATGATGCTGGTGGGCAGTTGCAGAAGCTGTGGTTCCTCCCAGCGTGTGAGGATGCTAGGATGCTGCCCATTACAGGGGGGCTGCTCAGGGCTCTGTGGGGTATGCTCTGTTCCCACTACCAAAATGTGGCTTTGGTTTTTACAATACCTTGTGCTTTTCCTTTGATTTTTCCTTTGCAGGTCTGAAAAAGAAGAACATAAACTCTTTTCAAAGAAAATACAAAAAAAGTCTTTTTATATTAAGTCTCTGCAGTTGTCATTAATTCCTCCAGATCATGAAGTTTACAGGCTGTTTATAGTCATTTACTATAAGGCATTTGAATGTAAAAAGAAAATCAACTTGCTTTATTTCCAGAAAAAGTAACCACTGCTACCTCCTCCCTTCATGGGACCTTTACAGTGTTTACCTTCCTTTATTTGGGTTGCTATCATTTAAACTCCAAGTATCCTTCACTTTTGGATCAGCTGCCAACTCAGTCTCCTCAGATGTCAGTTCAGTAACAAAGTCCCCAGAAGACCATTTTTCATGTCCTCTTTTCTGTTCTTCTTTTATATTCAAGGCTGAAGCACTAATTAAAAAACCGCAAAAAGACAATCTAGTCTAATAATTCTATGGACTAAAGTTCTAAAAACAATGTTATGAAATCCCAACTCTTCCCCATCTTACTTCACTTATTAATTTAAAAAGGTTATAAAGTAGCAGCTAAAGACAAGGAAACAGATACTCCTTGCTTAAAGACAGATGCCAAACAGCCTGATGCAGAGCTATATGCAAGAGCTGGCACAGGAAATCCCTGCTCTGAGAACAAGAAAGGGTTTCCAGAGGACAGGGACTACAGAAGAGGCATTCAGCAGGAAAAGGTGAGGGAGAAACCCACCTCTAGAATAGAATGTAAATGCAAAGATTACAACGGGTGGCTCTCCCAGTCTGGAATTGGGGGCATTCTGGGAACAAGGTAGAAACTCAGTGTAATGGAAATTCCCTGGAATCTATGGGGCTGACCCTAGTGAAGGAAGTTTCCCACCAATGGGGGATATGGAGCCTGAACTGACCATCTTCTGTAACCACATAAGGCTTCCAGTGGAGGGACTGGGACATCAACCCAGTCACAAAAATCTTTGGTTTACAACATATCCCGCCTACAAGATGTGCTGGGGTAAAGATAGCACACAGCTTGTAGGAGTGGTCAATCAATGACTGGTTCAACCTGAGGCCCATGCCCCAAGAGGGAGCCCATGTCTGACTGCCAAGGATAGAGCCAAGCACAACTTGCATAAAAAGTCAATGAAATGATTCCTGTTAATATTCTGCTATACTCATAGACCAGAGCCTAGCCCAGTCATTACAGGCTTCACCCAGCAACCAATGGGAACAGATGCAGAGACCCATAGACAAACATTAGGCAGAACTTCCTTGGGGAAACCCAAGGGAGAGGGGGAGGAAGCAGCCAGAGGGGTCAAGACACCACAAGAAAATGGCACACAGAACCAACTAACTAGGGCTCACAGAGACTGAAGCAACAGTCACAGAACCTATATGAGTCTGCACTTGGTCCTCTGTCATGTAGCTTGGTATTGTCATGGGATTCCTAATAGAGGAAGTGGGTGCTGTCTCTGACTCTTTTGCCTGCTTTTGGGACCCTTTTCCACCTACCAGGTGGCCCCATCCAGCCTTAATATGAGAGGATGTATCTAGTCTTTTTGTAACTTGGTATGCCATGTTCAGTTGATATCCCTGTGAGGCCTGCCCTTTTCTGAAGAGAAATGTGTTAAGAGAAGCTTTTCCTTGATAGCAGCTTTGGTTTATCACCCGCCAGTCGCCTGGGTTCTGCCGCGTTGTAGTCCCCAAATAACACACAAGACGCTGTATTAATTATGAAGCTGTTGGCCTTGCTTGTTTCTTACTGGCTAGCTCTGACTTCAGTAATTACCCCATAATTGTTAATCTAAGTATTTCTCTTACCGGAGAATAGTTCCAGGCTTGCTACCCCATGGCGGTTACATGTCGACTTCCTGTGTTTCTCTTACCCAGAGTCCTTCTGGACTCCTAGTCCCTCACATCTAGATTCCCTATTGGCCAGACAGTACTTTATTGACAAATGCACAGGACTTCCCCAACAGAAATGGAGGAGTAGTGGATCTGGGGGAGAGGGGAGGTGGGGGGAAGGAACTGGGAGGGGAAGAAGGAAGGGAAATTACAGCTGGGAAGTAATATATGAATAAATAAAAAAGAGAACAAAAAAGAGTTATGAACAGTTGAAAGAAAAAAAGAAGGGAAAAAAGTGAACTGGCAGTTAGGTATTTTCTAGAAGCTTGTGTAACAGAAGTGAGTAACTAAAAATGAATGCCACAATAACATTGAACATTACACTGAAAGCCCAATCTCTCAGACTTCAAGCAATGACCCGTGCACATGGGAGACATAACTAGATTGGGGCTACAGTTATGGTTTTACTTTTTAAACATATGAATAATTTAAGTGACATTTAAAATTTACATGACAGAGGAGTTGGGGGAATGGTTCGGAGGTTAAAGCACCTGCCAGAAAGTGTGAGGACTGCAGTTCAGATCCCTAGAACCCAGAATGACAGGGGGGCATGGAAGCCTGCCTGTAATTCCAGCCTCTGAAGTGGAGACAGAGAGAGATGTCTTGAAAACCAGCCATATCTGTGAACTCTGAGTTTGACTGGGAGATCTGCCTAAAAATGGATCACCAGTGGAGGATGATCCCTGACACCAATATCTGGCTTCCATATGCATACACAGACACTTCTAAGAGCACCACCATCTATATGTGCTACAAGTACAAAACATGCATACATATACATGTACAACCTCCCCCAAACAGAAATGGAGAAAGAAAAACAAAACATTCAATGTGAAAAAAAGTGAGAAATACCTTGTGCAAAATTTTAAATTTAAAATATTCATATACCCACAAAATAGAAAAAAAACCCTTGCTAATTATACATCTGATAGAGGGTTAGTATCTAGAATATGCAAAGAACTAAAAACCCCTGAATATTAAGAAAATAAATACTCAATTAAAAAATGGGTACAGAACTAGTAGGAGAGTTCTCAAAAGATGAAACACAAGTGGCTGAGAAACACTTTAAAATGCTCAACACTCTAGCCATCAGAGACATGCAAATCAAAACTATTTTAAGATTTCATCTTACCCAAGTCATAAAGACCAATATTAATAAAACAAATGATAGCAAATGTTGGTGATAATGTGGAGAAAGGGGAACACTTACCCATTGCTGGTCAGAGTGCCAACTTAGACAGCAACTAAGGAAATCAGTGTGCTTATTCCTCCAAAAGCTGAAAATCCATATGTCTCAAGATCCAGCCACACCACTCTTGGGAATATTACAAAGGACTTACATCCCACCACAGAGACACTTGCTCACCCATGTTCATTGCTGCTCTACCCAGAATACCCATACTGAATGGAAACAGTTTAAATGTCCAGCAATTGATGAATGAATAATGAAAATGTGGTGCATTTACACAATGGTGTATCATTCAACTGTTAAAAAATGAAATTATGAAATTTACAGGTAAATGGATAGAACCAGAAACAATCATCCTGAATGAAGTAGGTCAGGCCTGGTTAACTCTTCTTTGTGGATATTACCTTTAAACAAAGGTTAGGTAGCTTGTAAGGGACCAGGAGGGAGGAGAGAAGCTTCCAAGAAAGGGGAAACAGAAGATATTATTATAAAGGATAAAAGAGAAACTAAAATAGGAGGGTTAAATAGGGAAGGTGATGGGGAGGACAGGGTAAAGAAGGGAATATGGTGAGGGACAGCTAACAGTTAAGACCTTTTAAAGGCCATATGAAAACTTACTACTGCAGAAGATCCCATATATATATGGTATATCAATAGATATGATACATATTGTATGATATGTCATATATATGAAAGGAATTTAAATGGAGTTACCATATAATGGGGAGACAATATCCCAGCTAGACATCATATGTTACCAAATAAAACTCCAATACCAGAAATGGGTTACATCTTTTTGAGTCATTGGCCAAAGGGGTCCCATAGATCCCTCCAAGCATCACAGTCTATTGGCAATGCTATTGGTTACCCTCCACCAACTGATAGTAAGACCTTATTGCTGACATCACATACTTATGTCATGCAACATGGAGAAATCAGGATGATGCTCAAGTAATAACTTCACCCTTACTGACTAGTATTTATGGCTACCAAGGAAAAAAGTAAATAATCAGCCTCATCTAGCTATAAACTTGGCAAGATACAATAGAAACCTGCCAAAATATTCCCACTAGTAAAACAGTGGCACAAACGTAATTGGAGAAACCAAACATTTTTTTAAAATTGGTTTTAAGAACCACTCTATGAGGTGGAACCCATACCTGACATTGTGTAAGGAGGCCAAGAAGTCACTACTAGAGAGGTTCGTAGACCCTAGGGTTATACCTACTACTATTATTCTGCTAAGGGAACAAATCAATAAAACAACTCATAATTACATATTTCTATGTCCATAAATCTGTGCATTTCTCATATGCCAACATATACAACTCAAAATAATATATGATAATTTTATTTGGAAAGAAAATTATTTAACACATTTGGCATATTTTTAGATTAATATCTAAACCTATTATAACCTACTGAATATATCATACCACTATATTTCTTTATTTTATGTGTATGAATATTTTGTCTACAGGCAAATGCTAGCAAATCAAATAGCTTTCTTCCATAGCTCGGGTGTTCCAAGTATCTGAACAAAAATAGCTTAAGATAGATATCAGATGGATGCTTATATATTTTTGGTTGTGAGCCTAGCTTTTAATGGCTGAGCTATCCCTCCAGGCCCAGATAGATGCTTTAGACACACTTTAATTGTGAAGTAATCTGAACACTACAGATCTAAACTCATTTTACATTCACATGCATGCACGTGTGTGTGTGCGTGTGTGTGAGTGTGTGCGTGTGTGAGTGTGTGTGTGTGTGTGTGTGTGCCATAGTGTCTTTCCACCATTTGGGGCCCAGACATTGAAAGGCCATCAGGCTTGGTTGCAAGCATCTCTGTCCTCTTGCTGGCTCCTTAAGGTGTGTTTGAGTGTGCTTACCAGTCACATTTTCCTGTTCCAGACAGACCACCCTTACACATCAAATTGTTAATCTGGGTGTGGTAGTTCACACCTGTAATCACAGCACTTGGGAGGCTAATGCAGAAGAATTTCTACAACTTAGAAGCTGATGTGGGCTACAGATAATGAGGGCCCCATCTTATCTTTTTAAAAAGTGGAGTTTTAAGGTTAAAAATATGATACATAGGTGGTTTTGAGTGAGTATTATCTTCAAAAATCATGTATCCATTTCATTTAGAAACAGTGATAATTACTTTTTTTATATATCTTCCAGTCATAGCTATTATTTTATACAAAATACTTACCAATGTGATCAGAAAAATTATATGATTATTTATGTTTTTATAATCTTTTAATGAGTAGATATTTCAAGTAGAAGCAAAATTTGTCAACTCCATATATTAACCTAAATTGGAATTTTTTTTTTGAGACAGGGTTTCTCCGTGTAGCCTTGTAGACCAGGCTGGTCTCAACCTCACAGAGATCCACCTGCCTCTTCCTTCTGAATGCTGGGATTAAAGGTGTGCGCTACCACTGTTTGGCCTAAATTAGTATTTTATAGAACAAAGCCTATTATGAAATATCACCACATTCTTACCCATCCCGCTCTTTGCTGTCTGTACCAGGAATCTGCTGGGAGTCAGGCTTGCCGTTCTTCCTTGTTAGAGGTGATCCGCCGTCACCATGGTCAAGGGCAGCAGCACACCGGCTCCCTGATGCTTCCCCTTCATTCGTTTCCTGCTTCCTTTCTTCTTCAACCTTTAATCAATGTTTGAGACAGGGATAACTGCCAACTTTTCAACATTAACATTGGTTGTCTTATTGGATTTTTGTTACTGGACTCAGTTTCAAGTAGTGGACTAGAAGTGCTGAGTGTATAGTACAGGTTTGTGGAAAACGAGGTATCTCTCAAACAATAGGAGCAGTGATCCGCACCACTCTTCCCACCCTCTCCAAATAAGAGGACCATCAAGACAGCTTCAGAGGGATTCCTCAGTGCTCTTAAGGGGCATTACCTGATTTGTGTGTAAGTAAGTAGCTTTTTAAAAAAATTCAACTTTTGGTTTCATTACCTTTTCTACAGCTGTTAGTATAGGCAGGAGACCAACTTTCCAAGGCTCATCTATAGCATCTACAGCTGTTAGTATAGGCAGGAGACCAACTTTCCAAGGCTTATCTATAGCATCTACAACTGTTAGTATAGCCAGGAGACCAACTTTCCAAGGCTTATCTATAGCACCTCCACCCTGGGCTGTTATCCATCACATCATCCTTTCTGTTTTCTTCACAATTTCACCTTCAAATAAAGATTTTACTTTTACCTTATTTATTTAACAACTGCCAATTAGTCTCCTTTCAGCAAGGTGCAGGTTTCATGTGGCTTGTCAACTCTTGCTTAGTGGCCTTCCCCAGCACATGGCATGTATGAGTGCTTTGAATTAATTGATTACATGGTAAGATTTTGTAAGCTGGTTCATGCAGGTTAACGCTTGAAGGAGCTATGTGAGGAAGTGATCAATCTTAACCAGAGGGGAGGTGGTTCAAGGACATAACCTGGGTAAATGCTAAAGCTATTAAAATAAATTATGGAAGAGCCAGGAACAAACATTCTTATGAGTATTGGAATCAAATGATTCATTCTGCATGTGAAATATCTCAACAGAGGGGCTGAGACAGGGCTCAATGGTTAACAGCACTTGCAGAGAGAGCAGGCTTGGTTCCTAGCACTGGCAGTTCAGGTCACAAATTCTGTAACTTCATCTCCAGGGGATCTGATGCTGTCTTTGGGCCTTTGTGGGTGCTGAATCTTACAAAGCAGGCAAACCTAGCATTGGATTTTTCACTCATAATGGAACCATTGTTTTCAATGTCTTTCCACCTGTTCTGGTGCATTCTGCAAAAATGCTTTGATCCTGTGTTTAGTCAGTCCCTATGGAAATAATGGTGCACATTTTATGCATATTTCATTTTTACTTCTGGGTAGGTCCTAAATGAAGACTCAACGATATCAGAAGTTAAATTATATCTCAACCATTACAGCCATCTGTTTGGGTCCAGGCATCAGCCAGAACGCAGCAGGAATGCCAGCATCCTGCTTATAGTTGGATGTAGGACTATCTTTTACATTCATATTTAAATAATTGGCCCAGAATTCCTTAGCACTGATCTCACACAAGGTCTTCATATAGCTGGGATAAAACACCATTCTCTTGGACCATCCTGCTCACCTCTTCCAGTTCTTCTCCTGCATCCCTCTTGACCCTGGAAGGAGGTCTTTCACTGCATCTGCGCTTTCACTGCTGAGCTTTCGTTGGAAAAATGGAAGTTAGCTGCGACCCCTACCTGCAGGACCAACTGAAGTTGAAGTTTAGCTTTTTTGTCTGGACTAATTTTCTGGCATTTCATGTATGTATCCATAAGGCTAACTGTAAATCTATCTTTGCCGTCAGGTGTCCAAGCAATTCTCCATGCCACGGGGCACAAAGCTCTACCCTTCCTCTTCTGACATACCTTCCCAGTCAGCACTGCTCCTTCAGATGAAGTTTCCATGATGACTGTACAACGCCGTACATTTTTATTTCCTAACTTTAAAAGGGTTTATTTTTATTATTTTAAAATTTTGTGTAGATGTGTGTCCGTGTATGGGTATGTGCATGTGAGTATAGATGCTAAAACCCAAGAGAGGGCATGAGATTCCAAGAGCTAGAGTTACAGGTGGCTGTGAGCCTCCCAGTGTGGATTCTGAGTGCCAAACTGTGGTGGGTCCTCTTGAAGAGCAGTATGTGCTTGTAAAGGGAGGCTTTTCCTTGCTAGCCGCTTTGGTTTATCACCCGCCAGTCGCCTGGGCTCTGCCACATTGTAGCCCCCAAATAACACAGGACTTCCCCCAACATGTGCTTTTAAGCCCTGAGCCAGGTCTCCATACCCAAGCTCATGTTTTTGTATCAAAATGTATGATAAAATTCAACAAGTTTGGATCAAATAAATTACCTGTATTGTTATTGAATTAACCAGAGAAACTTAGAAAGTATACCTTTTACAAAGTTATTCAATGCCTCTCTGGGTAAGAAGCATCACCTACCATTACTTTTGAACATATCTCTTGATTTTTGTTTATCTTTACAAACCAATGTACCCCAGAGCTTCAGCGTTCTCCTTTGGAATCAAATGCTAAGTGTTTGCTTAGGGAACATTGGAGTTATGTGAGAAGCCTGCATTCCAGGATTCTCTAAACTTTATCAAACATAATTAAATTGGAGAAGACAGCATTAGCTATCTGTACAAGTGAGAGTCATCAGATACCTGATGCTGCTTTTCTTCATTTCTGTCAAGCCCTTTGTGCTTTTCCTCTGAAGTCAATTCTAAGCCCGGCTCTGCTGAGAAATGTGCATGTATAATTAAAATTAGTTACTTAAAATAGTTAAGGCAACATGTATTATCAAACTGATAGAAAATAATAACTTGTAAGCAAAGTTTTTCTTTTAATTTTCCAAATTAAGAATTTTTAGCTGAATGTTACTTCTGTAGGAAATGTTCCTTAATATCCAAAAATTTGGAAGTAATTATAACTGTCCACAATTTTAACAGTTTTGGAGATGCATTAGATGCCACAAACTCTCTACATGAAGAAGCTTAATCTAAAAAAAACATTAAATGTGATAGAAAAGATACAAATTCACATTAAATCTTGTCTACTTTGTGATTATAACTTATAAATAGCCCAGGCCAAATGCTCATCACAATGATTTCCAACACTCCTGTTCTCTTCACACATTTACCAGTGAACAAACTCCCTCTTCTTATATCTGAAAATTTCTCTAATATTCAAAAATTTCTTTACTTTTAAATTCAGCATGAAATGTAAAGCTACACTAAATATGGTTCTTTCTTTGGTGACCTAGCTATTTTTCTATTGCTGCAATACATATCCAAAGAAACTTGGGGAAGAAAGGGTTTATTTCACCTCACAGCTCACAGTCCATTTTTATTGAGGAAGTCCAGATAGAAACTCAAGGCAGGGACCTGGAAGCATGAGCTGATGTAGACATTATGGAGAATGCTGCTTACTGGTTTACCTCCCTACCTGCTACCCTCATCCTCCTCAACCTGCTCTTTTTTTGTTTTGTTTTCGAGACAGGTTTTTTTTTGTATTGTTTTGGAGGCTGTCTTGGAACTTGCTCTATAGACCAGGCTGGCCTCGAACTCATAGAGATCTGTCTGCCTCTGCCTCCCGAGTGCTGGGATTAAAGGTGTGTGCCACCAACGCCCGGCTTCAACCTGCTTTCTTATAGAACCCAGGACCAGAGGTACAACATGTGCTTAACATTTGTCAGTTTCATGTTTATTTCCAAGAATTAAAAAAGAAAGAAAATGTAAAAACAAATGAGTTAATTTTACACTCAAGTAACTAGGCTTATAGCTTCTACTGGTTGCTCTAAAGGGTAAATATGTCTAAAATATGGCATGTATAGGAAAATGTTTTATTTATTATAGGGAAGGTTTATTATATATGATTATGACTTATTGTCTAAAGGCCCTGAATTAATTTCTGCATGAGTAGAACACATGTTAGGGCATTGCATCAATGAAATGTGTGGTGATACATTGTTTATGATCTAATGAAGCTTGCCTGAAGATCAGAAGAGCAAAACAGCCAGCCAGTAGAAACTGAATCTCACATGAGACCCTTTGCTTCTTCCTTATATTTTCTATAGTGCTGGGATTAAAGGTGTGAGCTCTGTTTCTCTTTTAGACTGATTCACTCTCATGTAGCCCTGGGTGGCCTTGAACTCACAGAGATCCATCTGCCTCTGTCTCCTGAGTTCTGGGATTCAAGGTGTGTGCCACCACTGCTTGGCCTCTATGGCTGAGGCTAGTTTTGTATTCTGATCTTCAGTCAAGCTTTATTAGATCATTAACAATATATCACCACAGAAGTTTGTGTGTGTGTGTGTGTGTGTGTGTGTGTGTGTGTGTGTGTGTGTGTGCGCGCGTGCCAGTGTGCTCAGACCTCCTAACTGACACCCACATTCAGGGAGCCTGGTTTGGTCCTATGAAAAGCTTACATTTTAAAAACATTTTTTTTCTTGTGTTTGTAAATGCCCACTCCAAACATGGATGCCAAAAAGGATATTTGAAACATTTACATCAAATAATTCCACTCTATTTGTGAGACAAAAATTAGAAACAAGAAGAGAGATTTTCTATAAGTTTAATAAATTTCTCTAGAAAGTAATTTTTATTTCAAAGGTTACCTGATGTAAATGCCTTCACATCCTCGACTCCTTTCATTTGTTCAGGGACAGAATCTTTCCTTTTTCTGTGAGGCTGGAAGAGATTTGAAACAAGATGTTTAATACATATTGCATGTAATGTGATTCACATACTTAATAATTCAAGATAAAAGGTAAGTGTTATTACCAGCCAATGAAGATATTTCTCTGGATTTTCTAAAATGCAAAGGGAGACATGCAATGAATTATACTTAAATAAAACAAAAGCAGTCATACATCTGTGCATTCTTATGACAGAACTAGATCTATGTGTACTCCTTTGGGAAGGACTATTTTAGGGTTTGATCTCTTGCAAATTTGCAGAGAAAATGATATATATTGTAAGGAAAAAGAAATAGGAATGTAGGTTCAACAAAATGTGCAGGTGACATTTCACAAGTGAGATTATGTTTGCAGTAAGCACAGCCAAGAGGAGTGGGTATGTAAACCAGTGTGCCGATGGTGACTGATGAAGAGTAGTGATCTCTAATCAGAACAAATAGTGACCTTCAGACAAGAAATGTCGAAGATGATGGTGGGATATTATGGTATGTATCTTTAATGCATCACATACAGATAATGAATCTGAGTATAGCACATATCATATTCTTCTATTTTTCCTGTAATTTAGGAGGCCAGGGTTTTCTATCACTTCAGGGTAAGACAGATTTCATTTCGAATGGAAGAAAGGTTTCTGAATTGTTTCCTTTCTTCATGTCCGTATTTACCAGCGAGCCTGCACAAAATTCCTTGATTCCCCCCATGCAAGACAGTGTTAAACCACAAGTAAGAAATAACACATATAATGTTTTAAACACTGAAATAAAGTTGGAAAATTACATATGTATTAATAAGCTTTTATACTTTATAATCAGTGCAATATTTAATAAAAGTAACACAAGTATCAAAAGAATGTGAATAATGTCTTTTACATCTGAAATTACTATGGTTTAATATGCCATGAAACCATTTAAAGGATTTTTTAATTAATCAAATTTGTTCTTTGATGACTTCATACATGTACATAATGAATTCTTGACAACATGCAATCTACCTCCTCTCATTTGTAGAAAATACCTCCTACCCTATGGCAGTACAATGCTGTTTATAAAGGATTTTTTATGAAGCAAATATCTTAATGAAAATAAGTTGTCTCTAAGAGACCAGTCCAGTGCTTTAGCATTCAGATTAAATTTTGTAAATAATAATCATCAGTGAATCTCTGGCTTTGAAGACTGATAACTGTGATAAGAAAAATGAGTGACTGAGACATTCCCAAATCAACAGCACTCCTTCCTGATTCCAACATTCTCTGGAGGTGTTATCATACCGAATCCATCTCATTATCTCAACTCCCTCATCACCCCTTCCCCGGAAAGCACCCAGACAACATGGTTCCCCTGAAAACTTCTCAATGTCAAAACAGTTCTCTACATCTGTGAACTTGTTTCCAAATACATTCCAAGGGCATTACTATCACTACTTCTTGTCTACTGAGCAGTAGATTTTAGAATTATAACATTGATCTACTATCTTATGAAGACTATATATGTATATATATGTATTCTCTAACAGGAATGGAATGGTATGTCATAGCTTATGCTATGTGTATTTGCCTCCCCCCCCCCACTTAGCCCCTGTATGCTAGGCTTTTTTATTCTCCATCCACACTTTTCATATTCTCAATTCCTCCTATTCCTCTGGTCTTAGGATCTTGAACAGGAAGTGATTATTCATTTAGAGACCTCCCTCAATTGAACCCGTTGATAAAACCAGAGCAGATATACGACTTATTATCACCTCATTTCGCCATTTATTTTCTGTGCATTTAATAGGACACAGCCTTGGGTTATTAGCATATGCCTACAGTCAAGTTTAAATAAACACTGTTAGGTCAAATGACAGTTTTAACTACACAGTTCTTACCTACTGCTTGGCCATTTACTTGTAATATTCCATCAACACCAATGCGAATAAGTGGAAGACTCTCAGAGACTCTCTGTAACAATTAACCCCAAGAATGAGTTGCATAAAGCACTCCCTGAACAGATAAATGCTGTTTCAAAAGGTATTTAACATAAAAACAGGACAATCAAATATTGAAAAAAAGTCTTTGTGTGGACAATATTAATGCTCTTTAGTTCAGCTGGTCTTCTATCTTCAATGGCTTCTGACTGACATCAACACATTTACATATGAAACACGAGTGGGTGTGCAGCTTGCCCCCGGGGCTAACTTCAGTGGTTGCAACTCTATGTCTATTCCCCAATTTATCTCCTCAAAGCAGAGGGGACATATTCTTTTTTTTCCCTCTCTCCAAAACAGGGTTTCTCTGTGTAGTCTTGGCTGTCCTGGTACTAGCGCTATATATCAGACTGGCCTTGAACTCAGAGATCTACCTGTCTCTGACTCCCAAAGGGTTAGCATTAAAATTATGTGTTGTTACTACCTGGAAAGAGGACATATTCTTTTTTTTCTAGGTCAAGATATAATTTAATTATCCAAAAATTAAATTTCCACAGATTACATAGTAGTATCTTTAAATTTCAAAAACCTAAGATTTTAAAAAAGCATTGATTTTTTTAATTCTACATACTAACCACATTTTCCTCTCATCACCTCTCATTCCTTCCCCCCACCTCCCTTCTACACCCTCATCCACTCCTCTGTCTCTATTCAGGTGGGGTAAGTCCTCCCATGGGAATCAATAAAGCATGGCATATCAAGTTGAGGCAGGACTAAGCTCCTCTCTCCTGTATCAGGGCTGAACAAGGCATCACACCACAAGGAATAGGTTTCAAAGAGCCAGCTCATACATCAGGGACAGGTCCTTGTCCCACTGCTAGGGGCCCCACAAAAGTCTAAGCTGCACAACTGTAACCCAGATGGGGGGGCCTAGGTTGGTACCATGCTGGTTCCCTAGCTGTCTGTCCAGAGTCCATGAGCTCCCACAAGCTCAGGTCAGCTGTCAGAGGATATATTCTTAAAAATACACTTGCTACAGTATAGCCTGAAACACTAAAATCATCCCACACAATTTATCTCTGTATTAAGTCTCTTGACATGAAATTTGTATAGGAAAATTATTCAATAAACATATAAAATTAGTATAAAATGACTTATTTATGTTTTATTAAAATACATACATACAAGTATTAAATATATTAGTAATTTTATCTCAATTGAAATATGATAATTAAAAAAACATCAAGGCTTACTTAAAAAGAAGTCCAAGAATACTTGTGCATTTTCTCTTCTACACATTACAGGGCAAAAATGATTGTGATAATGCTACCGCAACAGGTTATTCAAGGCATAATGATGAACAGATGGGATACACTGTTCTGTCTAGAAAATTATCCTTGAATGTAGAGTTTCAAAAGATCTTCTCTGACTGCAGAATTTTTTATTCCCCCCCCATCCTAAATACAAAGCCCTTCTATAGTCTCTAACCCAAATCATCTATTTTCTACATAAAGGCTTTTTAATGACTTTATTTATGTATTTACTTGTTTTATTTTGCTAGCAACGGGACCAGTTAATCACAAATGCCAATGAAGTACTCTACCAATGAGTCATACCATCAGTCCATGATTTGTAGGTGTTTGTTGTTACCTTAATTTTCTGTTCAATTATTATAGCATAATCCTTCCAGGGCATTTTCACTATCTATCTGCCAATCACACAGTGTCACACAACAGCAGAAAATTCTTCAATTTAAAAATATTTACAATTTCAATACTGTGCTGATACATCGATGCAGATGACAAACCATTGTTTACATTAGGTCACTACAAATACAGCTGCCCCCAACATACTCAAGGACGTCCACTTTTAAAACTGTTCTCTAATTTACTCAGGCATAAAAACACAGTTAATTTGTCTTCATCATCATCATTAGCATCATGTTCCATTATATTTATGATCTCTTGTTTTTCCTTCTCATAAGCACATAACCAAGAACATCAATCATTTCAAGGCTAAATATCATACTATCAAGTTCTAAGCTGTAAAATCTTAAGGTCCTGTTGCTAAACCTCCATCCATAGAGGAGATGCAAACAACATCAATTCCCAGTATAGTTCCAGTGAGAAACAAAGATGCAATTCCCCTAAGGTTCACTCTGGGGAACATGAGTTGATTAGGCTTAATTACAGAGCCTTAGGTGAGAGGTTATGGGCAGGGGCATGGGTGACTTTAAAGCAGCTACGCTGGAAGGTCTACACCCAGGAGGGATGGTGGCTCTCCCATGACTGTGCAGATGGAGTCCCCTCCCCTAATCCATTCCAGCTAATATCCTCTAATCCCTCCCAGAGACCCTGAAGCTATATACAATCAGGGCAGAATTGCATACAACTGGTTGGGAGGAGTGGTTGAATATATAGGTGAGGGTTCTGTGACCCTCCCCACCTCTTCCTTCCAAGAAGGAGTGATGATATCTAACAGTGCCAGCTGTGATGTTCTTCTGGAAGCAGGTTCAGCAAAACTCCTTGAAGATGATGGCAGTTTTGCTTGGAGGATAGTTCTGTACAACAGGTCTAAAATTTTTCCTGAATATTAGGACTTTCACACATGAATATGTCCAACAGAATCATTCAGCCATGGTAGACCTGGCGTATGCCTTCCATTCTAACACACAATTCAGAGCCAAGCTAAGTCCCTTATATTCGCAGCCTGGGCATTTTCTCTACACTGAAAAACCTTCATTATGTGAATCCCATGAACTATCAGACTTGCTCTGCCCTGTGTCAACGTACTACCACATGGTGTCGTGGTGAATGCCAGGTGACAATGTGGGGGATAGTCAGTGTTAACTTCCATTAAAAAGTAATAAAGGCAATAGATGATACCTCAGAATCCCAAGATGATTCATCTTCATCCTTTTTTTCCTGTGGCTAATGCGCATGTCATACCTGTAAAAGGTAGATCTAGACATATGAGATAGTACATGTGTTGTTATAAATTTGAATCGTGCCCCAGACTGATGGATGAGAGGTCAACAGGGGACTGATCCAGACTCCATGAATGTAGTGCCAGGGAGGAGGCCACAGAAATCACTGGGGCCTTGGGTAGTCGATCAGTGTTTACCATGGTTTATGAATGAGCTTTGGGAGCCCATTACAAATAGAAGGATGTTCTCTTAGCCTGGACACATGGGGAATAGGTCCTGCCCTGGATGAAATGACAGACTTTAGAGGTTCCCCCCATGGAGGGCCTCACCCTCCCTGGGGAATGATGTGGGGATTAGGTGGGGAGCTGGGGGGGCTGGTGGAGGGGCAAGGGAGGATGGGTGGGAGAGGGAGGTGGGACTGACATGTGAAACATTCACATTTCTAATTTAAATAAAACATATATTGAAAAAATAAAAAAATCTGAATCATGCATATAAGTCTTAAACCATTATTTTTTGTGAAATGGCAGCCATAAAAATAATTTCAGAGACTTGTGATGGTCATCAAAATAAATGCGAACCGAAAGAAAACCATTAAATGGGAATGAGTGTCCTTTGGATCTACACACATTAGTCCTTTTGTACTCGCCCTATTTTCCCCCTTTACAGTTTTGATATTGCATCCTGCTGTATTCCCCAGGGTGTCCTGGGGCATATAACCTTCTGACTCAGCCTTTTAATTTCTGCGATCACATGTGTCTGATCAGCCACCTTTGATTATCTTAAAATTGCGTTGAATCTTAGAAATTCTCAATAGATATTTATGAGTTCCATTTGTTGTTTCTATCTCCTTCCCCACTATATGACGAAGTGTGAGTTATGCTTTTATGAAGCACTACCTTGTTCCTCTTTGCTAGTCCTTGGCTCTGTTGCACCTTCCTATTAAAAGCAAAAGGAGAAAGGACATCATGAAACCTATTTATTTACTCACTAAAATAAATCCTTTGTTAAAGACACAGCTATTTTCTGTTTTATCAAACCGTAGGCATATCCCAATGAAGCTGAGAATAGAGGACAGATTCTGCTCTCTATTCAAACTGAAGTAGAGTTACGTTAAACAATGAGAACAGAAGTGAATTATTATTCTTACAATTGAAATGATTATAAGGGTACATGGAAGGGAAGAATCAGTTCTACCTGCAAATAGGAAGAAATTCCACAAACAAAAAGAATGGTATATCAGAGTCACAGGAAGTACAGGGAGCTGTGAAGGTCATTCTAGGCCAGGAAGCATGAGCCAAAGTGAATGAGGGTTGGGAAAGTTCCCATGCTTAAAGTAAACCATGGTTACTGGTATAGGATGGGCAGTTGACAGATAATCATGACCAAACCAGTAAAGACATTTTCTTTGAGAAAGGATGTAGATCAGGCTGACCTCAAACTCCTCACAAGATCTTCCTGTCTCTGCCTCCTATATCCACAATAAGAAACTAGTTCTGTAAACTGAGCACTTGTGTCTGCTAGCATGAACTATAAATACAAGGTTCTGAAATGATGATTTACTAGAATCCCATCCAGTGGCCACTGTTCATAACCACTCAACAGTGTTCAGATTTTTATCTCACCTTCGTCCTCAGTGTGGAAATTACACAGATGTACTCAGAGAAATATATTTTTTTCAGTTACAACAAAGCTTAGCTGTAAGTAGAATCTGAGACATATCTAAGTTTTAAAACTGGTATCTCATGCTCCAGGGGATAGCACCACATCCATGCTCATAAAGACAAAATGTCCTGGATAAACTCAGTGCCTCACAAACAAAAAGGAAAACAAAAAGAAAAGAAAGTAGAAAGGGAACTTGTTGGGAGGGGAGTTTAGTGGTGGTAGGAAAGGGATAAGGAGTGGAACAAATGTGACCAGAATGTATAGTATACACGTATGAAACTATAAAACTATAAAAGAATAAATTAATAGTAATAAACTATTAGACATGAAATTATAGCATAATGATTCTATAAGGTAATTAGGAAAAGTATTTCCATTTGGTCTATGCTAACTTACAAAATGAAAAAAAACGACATTAACGAGAAATAGAAATAAGAACTGTTACATACTTGATGCTGGTCATTTTCTCTGTCATCGAGCCTCCTTGGTTCTTCCACTGATGTCACCCCTCCAGCTGGCTCTGCTGACAAATGCACATGTGTAATGACAGTATGTTACTGAGAACTATTCCATAAGGAAATGAGACACTATGAAATAGAAAACAGTAAACAAAGACAGTTTCCATTTTCTCTTTGCAAGTGGAAATTTTTAGTTTAATATTAATTCAAGCTAAATATATTTAAAGAAAAACATTTATAATTGTCCAAATGTTTCATAATCCTTTTGGAGATACACTGGATAGCATTCAGCATCAAGAAGATTCTTCCACGGGTAAGATGGCAGATTAGAAGTGGCCTCTGTGAGCTGCAGTCAAGGGGAAAAGTCGGGATGACTAAGAATAGACTTTCCAGTGGAATGTCTGATTGCAAACATAGGAAATCACAAAGAGGGTAACAGAGTGAAGCATACTGAAAGCACATAGACATTATGCTTGAGTCTATGCACTTTGCCTTTATTTTGCATGTACTTGTTTGTTTGCCTGCTGTTTGCTGTTGTCTTTGTTGCTGTGAGGCTGGATCTGCTGTGCACTCCAGGCTACCCTGGAGCTTACTGTTCTCCTACTTCATCCCTTTTATTTCTGATTCTACAAGAGTGCTCTTTCCTGTGCCTGTGACTGTCTTAACTGCATTCTAGCTTAGCAGACTTTTCTAGATTTTTTCTGGCTTTATTTTGATTGTTTTGATGGCCCCTATTTGCACAAGGCAGAGTGTGATTACTGGGTGTGGCTATTAGTATGTGGTCCTGAAACATTACCTTGTTTTTCTCTGCCTGATCCTGGCTCTGGCTCTGCCAATCCTTCCTATTAAATATGAGAAAAGGAAAAACACAACTGTGAAAACATTTATTTACTCACCTACTCACCCACTAAATGAATCATTAGGACAACAAATATCTGCTGTATCAAGTCATGGCACAACCATGGCTCATACTGGAAGCAGAATGTAGATTATTTTCTCCACTCAAGCACAAGCAGAGTCATGTTTAACAATAAGAACAGAAGTGAATCACCCATTATTACTACAGTTGAAATGATTATAGTGAAGGACATAAAGAAAAGTCAGTTTGGGCTGGAGAAACGCCTCAGCCATTAAGAGCACTGACTGCTCTTCCAGAGGACCCAGGTTCAATTCCCAGGACCCATATGATAGCTACAACTGTCTGCAACTTCAGTTCCAAGGGGTCTGACACCCTCATAAAGATATTACATGCTGGTGGTATACCAATATGCACAAAATTAAAAGAAACAAACCATTTAACTATTAAAAAAGAAAGAAAAGCCAGTTCTACTTCTTAAGTCCAGAAAATGCTACAAACACAGGGTGATATGTCGAAGCAGAGAAAGCAAAGGGAGGTGTGACAGCCATTCTGGACCAGAGCAGCATGAGCAGAGGGATGAGGCATGGAAACAAGGCAAACCGGCTGTGAAAGTGATGTGCTGGAACTAGAATGTGGTTACTGGGAATGAGATGGATATATCAGACAGAGAACTGAAGCCATGCCATAAAAAATATTTTCATGCTATACCGTGAATTTTTGTATTCCTCTGACTGGGATCCACTCAACAAACAGTTAAGTCCCACCGTCATAAATATACACCAGGGAGTTCATCTTTGTAGTTGTGTAGACACACATAAAGGTAACACATGGAGAAGGGGTAGAGAATTTTTTGTCATTGGCATGAAAGCGTACTCCATTAGTAAGGCACGAAAAATGGTCATCCAGCATGAAATGAAGTTGCTTGTAAGTAAATAAGGGAGAAGGGAGTCTAGGGTTTTCCCTGTTTCAGAGCTTGAGTTCTACTCTCTCTCTCTCTCTCTCTCTCTCTCTCTCTGTGTAAGCAAAATAGAGAATGCCTCAACAAAGAGTCTGGGAGGAGTCAGTGAAGGTCAGGGTCAATATCTCTAGTTGTAACTTCTTAAATTAAGGCAACCAGGCACTTAGAAGACAAACTAGAATAAATTTGTGATGTGTAGGAACTGAAGACCTTACTCAGGAAGAGCATTATGGATTTTAGGAAAAGAATTATTTGCCACATATAGTTAGATGACGTGGTAGTTTGAATATGAACAGATCCCACATATTTGAATGCTTGGTCCCTAGGAAGTAGCTTTACTTGACAGAGATTGGGAAGTGTGGCCTTCTTGGAGTAGGCGTGGCCTACTGGAGGTGGACTTTGAGGTTTCAAATGCTCAAACCAGGCCCAGTGTCTCTCCCTGTTACCTGATCTAGATGTAGAATTCTCAGCTATTTCTCTAGCACCATGCCTGCCTGTAGACCACCATGATCCCTGCCATGATGATAATGGACTAAACCTCTGAAACCTTAAGGAAGCCCCAATTAAATGTTTTCCTTTATGAGAGTTGTCATGGTCATGGTGTCTCTTCACAGCAACAGAACACTGTCTATGACAGATGCTATAAATGAATGATAGAAACCAACTAAGGATGCTGAAATTTTGATACACAAAAGAAAGTGTAAAATTAAGGAGTTCTGATATCTGTTGTAGATGTCAATGTATAATTTGCATAAACAGCCATATGTTATCATATACAATTACTTAATTAGAACTTTATTCTAATTTGTGTTAGCTATTCAGTTAAAATACATTACTGTAAACAAAAATTCCATATGCTGCAGGAAGACTCCTTAGTTTAGCTATGTTCCCAAAAGTTTCAATTTTAAGTAAGGCTTGTGCCAAGTACATTCTCCTAGGGATTCAGCATTCAGAGGAAGAGAACACTTGAACTGAGAAGTTTCAGGCCTCACTGGACAGCAATGCAAGGGCTCATGGCATTTCAATTGGACAGGAGATTTAGTTTTTTCCAGTGGCAAGGGTCAAATCTAGGGCTTTTCACATTTAGGCAAATACTC